ACTGTATGTATTTGTATGGTATGGTGGAAATTAGCGGGAGAACATTTTAAAACAAATTTGAGGAAGCACTTCTTTACACAGCGTGTAGTCAGAGTATGGAATAGTCTTCCTGCTATTGTAGTGGAAGCTAAAACCATGGGTTCCTTTAAATCAGAGCTAGATAAGATTTTAACAACTCTGAGATATTAGCTAAGTTCTCCCCAAACGAGCTTGATGGGCCGAATGGCCTCCTCTCGTTTGTAAATTTCTTATGTTCTTATGTTCTTATTTATCATTTATTACGGAGAAGGGCTGATCATCAAATGTAATAAACTCTGTAATTTTCCAAGTAATATCTTTTGATTTTATACTATCTGCACTGATTTTTCTTTTGCTATCAAATGCTTCCACTACTGACAGACTAGCTTTATCCTGCAATACTGCAGCCTTTTTTATTGGAACGGATTTATTTTTCAGGAACTTTTCATACTCTTCACTGTCTCGCCTTCAGGTGACCAATCAAATTTGTTATGTTAACGTTTATTAGTTGATCCTCCTCATGAAATGTGAAATATCATGAAAATGTTTGCAAAATGCATTTCTAACATTGTTTCCACTGTTAAAATAATTCCACACAGCAGACATTTTTCTAACTGTTAAGAATGCGGGTGTGAAAGAAATATGGGTCACCATTTTAAAGGGAATTATCGGTGGCAAATATAGCCTAATTTTTAACCAATGGCCAATGGTCGATTGTTGCTCTGTCAGCCAATATCGATAGTTGACTAATGCAGATACAGATGTAGCTATTCTAAGTTTATGTCTACTTCAGTTCTACCAAGATAAATGTAAGGGTGACCATCACCAGGGGCTTTTGACAAGAAATCCAGGAAGAATTTTTGCAAAGTTGCTACCAAAGATTTATGTAGTGTGTCTTATTCAGTTGTGATAGGCTATAAGTTTGGAAAACTTAGGAAGATCTGAATCTGTCACTATTCTCCAATAGCGACACTTCCTTTGCCTTTCTCTATGTATCGGTTACCGTTTCTTTTCTTGGCCAGCAGGGAACACAAGATCTTCCCATCCCATGTGGTTTTGAAACAGCATGATTACTGCAGAGTACATTTTTTTTTACTCATTAAGAGACAAAATACATCCAAATGTCCTGTCTCCTCCTGAGTTTCATGTTTTCCTGTCTGATTTTCACTTTGAAAAGCAATGTATTGTATCTGTCAGGAAGTTTGGAAAGACGGGGATGTATATCATTTTGTAACCATAATATATGTTTAAGTCTCATGTTAGCTTTTACAAATACGCTACATTTTATACAGAGTCTACCCTGACAAGGGTCATTCCAGTTGCTGGGCATACAGGTGAATAGCTGCACAATTATGTGTCATTGACAGGTGAAGGAGGGGAAGGAGAATTCCTGGGTAGAAGAGGAAGTGTGGAGGATGGAGCTGTATGTCTCTCTAGGCATCCTGGCACTGGGTTTGCTTTCCCTGCTGGCAGTCACCTCCCTGCCCTCTCTTGGAAACTCACTCAACTGGAGAGAGTTCAGCTTCATCCAGGTATGCTTGGGAAATCAACAAGCCGATGTTCCCAAACCAATTTCAGCATTGGTCCATTGTCAACAGTGAACCTTTGAACCATAACAGGATACAATTTGAACCTGCGGGTATGGTGGGTATTTGCGTAGTGGACACTTACCCAAGGAGATCATTTATATAAATGGGTAAAAAGGGAAGTTACTGAGTGTGAGGAATATACTTGCAGAATCTTTCACTAGCATGGGTTCAACAAAAGGACTTTATTGTTCAGCATAGTAATTCACATGATACAGTGCAGTCAAACATCAGGTAGTGAAAGGCAGATAAATACAACATGAAGACAGGTCTATACCCTCCTATATACCCTGTAAGGCCCTCCCCAACAAGATCCTGTGTTGAGTGAATTCCCTTATAAAAGGTGATTGCCTCAGTGGTAATAACCCTAAGAGGGGGCAGCTTGATGATTTTTAAAGAAATGTTACCTTAATTCAGTTTTACCTCAAGTCTTTAAGCAACTCTTTTCTTGAAAAACAACTAAACACAACTGGGGTATAAAGTGCAAACTAGTTTACAGTCACAGCTGCCAGAGAAAACTCGTCACACTGATTATCATTTCAAGTAAAAGGAATTTTAATTATACACAAGAAGCTGGCTCCCTAATTTACTCCCAACCTTGTACTATACGTAAATTTAAGGCAAAACAGCTTAAAATTATTGTGTTATGTTCATTTATTTGCCAAACAAGTGCTGGGTTGTTAGCAACCTGAACATGGTAACGTGATAATATTTTTACATCAACATTTTAAGTCCTGCGTTTGCACATGGCGCCTGATGGCATTTTTACCCTTAGTAAACAACTGTTTCCTGAATGTCTCATGTACACAAAGGTTAAATTAGTAGAGAACAATCAAACATAAAACAATTATCACTAAAGCTGACTGGCTTAAATTAATAAAAATAAAACTATTTCAGTAAGGAAAAAAAATAGGGATCCTGCAGCTACTGCTGCTTGGACCCCTAATAATAGGAACTTTCTGTAAACAATCTCTGACCCTGAAACAGGTAGCTGATTCACTTATAGCTCAACAGCAGAATCAATGTTTTTTTCTCACTTCGAATGTAGTATTTTCCTTGGGTTTCACGTGTTTGGTGTTTGTGGACGTACACACATTCACCTTGGGCCACTTCTGATTGGTAAGCATGACTGGCATGCAAGGAGCATGGCACTTCTGATTGGTCAGAATGACTGTCGCACAAGGAGGTTGGCATGAATTTGTAAAACTATTCTCCTGACAATTATAAACCCTGGGTCAGACGTGCTGTATAAGGCATATCCTAAATCTCAGCCTTTGCAGTTTTGCTAACAGTGCCATTTAAAATCATTATTTCGATTTGAAATTGATAAATTGTTCAGCCCTACCATATATGGTATAATAATCAGACAAACCCAAGAGAAAGGAAAACTGAGACAATAACAACCATGGCTTTCTCACCTCACCTCAGTTTGTACCATGAAGGACATGCTGCTGCTTCTAGTCACAGGTGACATCTTTGAAGTCTAATTACTACAAAAAGTATAATCCTGCTCACGTTCAGGGTTTGCTCTTCAAACCTTCATACTTTTCCAATCTAGGTCATGGAGTCACTCGTTAGAGTGGTACCCCCTCAAAGGGCACACACTCCCACCAAGTACGCAAATTAGAGACAGCAATTCAGCTAACTGCATGTCTTTGGACTGTGAGAATATTCTTCACTCTGAATCACCCAGTGTGTGCATGTTTCTATGTTCTAAGCCAGGGTTATTCAACTCACGGTCCTCGAGGTCCGAGCACTGCTGGTTTTCCAGCCTTCCTTTACCTGTCAGTCAGGTGTGAAGCCTCTGACCAATCAGAATCAGTAATTATTAAACTAGCTACCTGGGGGAACTGAAAACACAGCCTGGATTTGGAATCGAAGTCCAGAGTTTAAGAACCCTGTTCTAAGCTCACCCTCAGCTCAACCCTGCACTATGCACAATGTAACTATGGAACATGGGTGGACAAATGCTTTTCTAATTCTCATTTAAATGTAGAACCTTATCCTCACCCAAACAAGAGCACAAGTATATTGAAGTTTTAAAAAGTGTGCCATATAAAACAAGTGTCAAAATAAATATTTTCAATATAAAGTGAATATTTGTACTCTTGTAAGCTACAGAACAAGGTGTCACAAGTACATGAAAATGTTGACTGGTGATATTGTTGTATTATGTTGATAAAGACGTGTTTGACTTCATTATCTCATACTGATTTCTATACATTAACTGAATATATTCCTTTGAAAAATATAGGAACTGTTTTCTCTCCATCTATGTTTTAGTTTTTATGAATAGTTTGAGTAGTAATGCTGATTCATTTTCTTTGTTCTATGTCTTTCAGTCCAAACTAGGATGCGTAGCCCTTACAGTTGCCATCCTGCACACCTTGATGTTTGGCTGGGGTCGCGCCTTCGACAAAACCCAGTACAGGTTCTACCTCCCACCCACCTTTGTGCTGGTGCTTATTCTTCCTTGTGTTGTGTTGGTGGCCCGCCTCAGCCTAGCACTGCCCTATGTCTCTCACCGCCTGGAAAGGATTCGTAGGGGCTGGGAGGTGGGCCCCTGGGTGCACTTTCAGCAACAGGAGTGCCACTCCAGCCTAGAAGGTGTGAGCACTGTGTGACACTTGCCCTTTTAAACCAGGATGTAGAATCACCAGCATTTATACATACACGTTTTTGGAAATTTAAAGTTACATATGGTATTATAGGGTAATTTTTATAGCAAGCCCTGCACAGCCATTCTGTTAAACCAGCTTTGTCTTTCTCCTTTGGTGTCTGATTTTCTTTATGCCCAAAATGAAAGTGCCTTTGTCAGACACCTATTCTGCTGTCTGTTTTACTGCCAGGGTTATTGTCTTTGAAACCTAGTCAAAACAACAACCAAAATTATGAAAAGCTGTTGTGATATGTAGTTAGATGGTATTACTCCTTTCTAAAAGTTGCACTATACAACTTTACATGAACCGCCAATTGAATATAAGATGAAATGTAGTTATCAATTTTGTTACATTCAATTTTCATGCATTAAATATGACTTGTGGTTTACGGAATTGTGACATGGACAACTCTGCAGTGCTTCTACTTAAAAAAACTACCTCCTTTGTTTCACTATCCAAATCCACACCGTCTTTAAAGGCAATAATAAACCAACAGACGGAGATGATTAAATATTTTTACTGTACATGAAAAAGTCTGGAAAAAATATATGTTCAAAAATAATCTCCGAATGCACCAGTGTCTTCGTTTTTCATGACTTCAGACATGGTTTACATGAGTGCAGTCTCTCACCAAGACGTTTTAGGGTTGGCTTTAAACCTTTCATAATCCTCATTGCGAAAGAAGGCCAGCTCTGTCTCATGGCCTGCAATTAGGACGGGAAATAAGAAAATTAGTGGTAGACTGCACTGGTTTACTCATTTTACAATTTCTCAGTGTGCATGAATTTATTCATTTATAAATGGCACATGCTAAAAATGCACACACAAAGACAAATGCAATAAGTAATATACCAAAGCTTGTATAAAAGGTGTGAATGAAGCCCCACCTACTCCTGATGATTTGAGGGTGGTTCCCTGCCTCAGTATTAGCTTGTCATCATCATCCAAACTCATCACCAATTCATTTGTCTGAAAAAGAAAATGGTAATATGGCATATACTGCAAAACATGAGCTTAAGATATTGTCTGGATAAAATAGGAAAACATTTCCTGGTAAAAGAAATAGCATTTTACCTTTGCACCATGTGCTTGGTGAATGATCTTCAGTGTGTCTACAAGAGCAATGTATCATGTGAATGCATCTGACATAAAACAAAATGGTAACACTCAACTTGACAGGGCACAAATATAGCACTATGCTATTATGCACACATTAATTAACCACAAACTAAGTCTTAGTTATATACTGATCTCGTGTCATCATTACTGAATCATGACAAATGGTTTATCTCAAGCAGTTAATATATTTGTTACTATATCTTAATTCTATAAAACTATGTGAATTCTATGTGAACTACTGAAGGAACATGTCATAAATAAGTGAAATACTGATCTCATGTTTGCTCATAATTTATGAATCATGACAACTTTTATCCCAAGCAGTTACTGTATTTGTTACTATATCGGTTAATTCTGTAAACCTTTGTGAACTACCGAAGGAATTACTGAAAAATTACCACAACTAAACCAGGACTGAGAATCTTCAACTGAACCACAGTCAGATCCTTATTTTCATTATGAAGAAAGTTTGAGATATGGTGCCATGACAAAGTCTGTCCTGCAAAGATCTCTGGAAGAATAAGAGGTAAAACTTTACTTGATGGAGAACAAATAATATAGTACTGTTTTATACTTACATATTAATTAAACTCAAACTAAATCTTAGGTATATACTCGTGTAATGTTAATTCATCATTAATGAATCGTGATGCATGTTTTATCTTAAGCAGCTACTTTCTTTACTACATCTTAATTCTGTAAACTTCTATGAACTACTGAATGATCTACTGAAGGAACAAGCCTTGAATAACACAATACCGATTTCATATTTGTTCATTTTCAAGTAGCGACTATATTTGTTCATGATTTGTTCATAATTTCTGTACTTCAGTAGTAACTGATTCAGTACTAAATATTTGTGCTCCGTCAAGTAGATAGTTACCAATAACAAAATGCAACACAAAGAACAACAATAATGGCAGTATTACCGTATCCAAATTTCTTGAAGGGGGGAGGGAGTCCATCTTTGGAAGAAACAACTAAAGGATACAGTATAGCAAAACCGGTGTAAATAACACTTGTCTAGCTGTTAAGAAGGTGTGTTTGTTAAAGCATGTCATGACATGCGCATGACCCCAAGAATATTAAGAGCTTACCTTTCCTCACGTGCGCAATGAATTCCTCCACTGTCTGATTGAGATCTACGCCTCGGAAAACTACAGGTTTGAAATTGCGATGCTCGAAAGATCGCACCAAACGTACGGTTAGCACAGCTTCGCTTGACATGCCTACGAAAGGGGAATATACTATAATGACATTTCGAGTTTCTGTAACAATCCAATATAACTGATCGTCATTACCTTGATACTTTTATACACAGGCTGTACCCGGAAGAACTATCCAAAATACCATAGATAAAATGATTCAACTTCCTTTCACGTGTTACGGTACCGGCGAGAGCGTTAAAGCAACGGAGTCGACCAAAGTCATTCATTTTTTATGGGAGCGCGTCACAGCACGAATGTAATAAATAGCAGACGTTGTGAAAAATCAATAGGCAGTGTCCGACGCAATTTAAGATGCGACGCCGAATTGTTATGCGAAGTTCTGAACCACGCGGGTTCTATATAGTAGCGGGGTTCCCGGTTATTTATGACGTTTCCCTGTTTCCATGCGGGGTCATAAAAAACGAGGCCAGCTGCAGGGTGTCTGAAATTATTGGTGTTCCAGGTGAACTACAGGTTTTGCGGCCTCTTTAATTTAAAAAGTTTGCAAGACCTAGAATTCTGAACGACTTTGTCGCTGTGCTCTTTACGTCGTTGAAAATGGAAATAGTCATATTAGCGTAGCATGTGGAGAGTATGAATTTATTGTAAAGAAAAAATCTTAGGAAAACCAGGAGGTAGCAACACCCCAGGATACAAGTTCCTACATAACTGTTCGATTTGTCGTATTTACAGTACAAAAAAAATCTTTTTGGAATGGGGGAGGGGGGTGTTGGAAATTTTTGTCCACAAATTATTAACACTGACTTCTAAACGTGTACAGTGGTCTATTTCCAGTGAGCAATGGTAAATTTATCTAGTGGGTCCTCTTGCCACAGTACAGCCCCATGCTTTTGCAGGTGATTGAATATTCCTCAGATTTTGCCTGATGGTGCTAAATGCATTACATAAAGAAAATGAGGAGCTATAGTGAGGAGCCATACATGGAGAACTGCTGTGACAAGTTCATGCATGAGTGTCTTGCATGTCACTGTATGATTATGTGCACTTCCGTATTGTCCTCTATCAGAGTGTAGCTGACCCATTCCAAGATGACGAGGGTCTATCCACCGGTGCGGTGGTTGTGAACGATTACAAAGAAAAATGGTTATTTGCGAAGACATCCCTAAGAACTCTGCCATTGGTCTGAAAGGTGTAGAGGTTGCTTTTCGTCTTGCTCAATGTAGTACAGGAGGATGAGACTCTCACCTGACTGACAATATTGTGTAGTACTACACAGGTCATAGTAATGGCTCTCTGGGGTGACTGAACCCACACAGACACTGGAAGTGGGCCTTGAGTATGTCTATAGTCATCTTCGTCCTGGCTCTGGTCCTGCTATGGGCCAGCTGCTGGGTCAGGGTAAGCTACCATCAGGGTACACAGGAAGGTGGTGCCCTCTGACCCCAAGGAGACCATCCAATGATCATATTACAGGGGGATATACACATATCAGCCATAACATTAAAAACTCTAACAGGTGAAGTAAATAACATTGATTATATTGATAATCAGTGTCAAGAATGCCACTATATCTTAGGCAAGTGAACAGTCAGTTCTTGAAGTTGATGTTTTAGTATACAGTATTCAGTATACCTGTCAAAAGTGGTCCAAGGAAGGTCAACTGCTGAACAATTCAATCATTCATTCTATTAATGTAGATTTTTAGAATAAGCGTTATAGACTGAGAGATGAAGAAGAAACTTTAACGTGCTATGGTTGCTGCAAGTCAGCTGAAAGTCATGACAGTGACAACTTAACAGCGTGTATCTTGCGCCACCTAATGGGGTAACGTTAAATTACTTTTTTAGGAGAGAATTCACATCCATGTGGAACTCACGTTTTCTTAATATCAGTTTCTTTCTCTCTTAATTAGACACAAAAGCGCAAATAACACAGAGAGAACATGAAAACTTGAATACACACAGTCAGAGTAACAATCAAATTCTATAACCCAGGAGGTGTGATTCCACAGTGCTACATACTGTGTGATTGTGCTGCCTTGCAATTGAATTAAATTTATATACACTATATGACAAAAGTATTGGGACACCTGCCCATTACACCTACAGGAAAGGGTCTTCCCCAAACTGTTCCCACAAAGTTGGAACCATATAACTGTCCAAAATGTCCTGGTATGCTGAAGCATTAAAAGTTCCCTTCATTTGAACTAAGTGGCCTAGCCCAGCCCCTGAAACACAACCCTATACCATTATCCCTCCTCTACCAAACTTTACAGTTGGCACAATTCAGTCAGGAAGGTAACATTCTCATGGCATCCACCAAACCCAGACTCCTCCTTGATACTGCCAGGTAGAAAAGTGTGATTCGTCACTCCACAGTACACGTTTCTACTGCTACAGAGTCCAGTGGCGGCATGCTTTACACAACTCCACTGGACACTTGGCATTGCACTTGGTGATGGGAGGCTTGCATGCAGCTGCTCAGCCACAGAAGCCATTCAATGCAGCTGCTCAGCCATTCAATGAAGCTCCCAGTGCACAGTTTTTGTAGTGGGGTTAATGCCAGAGGAAGTCTGGAACTCTGCAGATTCAACACATCATTGGCTACTTTTACGCACTATGCGCATCAGCACTTGGTGACCCCACTGTTACTCTAAGTGGTCTGCCACTTCATGGCTGAGTTTCTATCATTTGTAAACACTTTTACTTTGCAATAATACCACTTACAGTTGACCATGGAATATCTAGCAGGGAAGACATTTCACAAACTGACTCATTGCAAAGATGGCATAATACGACAATTCCATGCTTGAATTCACTGTGCTCTTCACAGCTACCCATTCTTTCACAAATGTTTGTAAACCTGACTGCAGGGCTAGGTGCTTGATTTTATACACCTGTAGCAATGGGTCTAAATGAAACACCTGAATTCAGTGATGAAGACGTGTGTGCCAATACTTTTGTACATATAATGTATATACACCAATGAGCCAAGACTCATGTGAAACAAATAAAGTTGACTCTATCATACAAATAGCACATGTCAAGGTCTGGGATATACTAGACAATAAGCCAACATTTAGTACTTGTAGTTGATGCAGAACAAACTGGTAAGGGTCAGACTGTTGTGGCTAGATGACTTGGTCAGAAACATCTTCAAAACAGCAAGGCTTGAGGAGTGCTAACTGCAGTCACAAACGAGTCAGCGCTAATTACACTCCTATCTGAGAGCTGATTCTTTCTTTTTTTTTATTGTTAATTAATGCAAGACAATAATAGGATGATCTCTTCACCACAGCTAGTGCTCAACCACGAGTGTTTGGAATGGTTTGCGTTTTGTATAGGTTATTTATTTTATTTTATTATTTTATTTTATTTTATATGAACATCACAGTAGCATTAGAATTGTAACATACCTTAATGCACAAGGACTAGATGCATTGTGTTTAAAGTTTGTAGCAAAAAACTAATTTAAAATATAGATAAAATAAATGACTTACAATATAAATACAATGCAAATAAACCGTTCAATATATGTGTGTGTGATAGTGTGTGTTGTTTTTACAGTAATATTTTTATAGCAAGCATAATGTGAAATCATGGTATTCTGTATGTTATAAGGTTTAGTATAACTACATTGAATAATGTAAGTAATTACGTGCACAAATACCAATCATGGGTCAAAGAATTGCTAAATTTGCCTTAACTATAAAAGCCAGAATCGGTACTAAATAAAGAACAGTTTGGGAGCCAAAAAAACCTGTTCTTATTGCTGAGCTGAGCCAAATGATCTGGATCACTGAAAAGAGCCGGAATTCCTATCACTACTAATAAGTGCGTAACGCTAACCCTAGTTTTGTCCTAAACGCGGCTGCAATCGTATGCGCACAAGCCCAACTAGGTCATTGTTTCTATATCCCGGATGTTACTTGCACTTATTTGCAATTAACGTGCTCGCTTCTACGGTAACCACCAGTACAAAACTTACAGTTTAACTGTCACTGTATCGTATGCTTACTTGTTAGTCGTTATTTAACGCTCTCCTTTGTGAAAAGACTTTTGTTTTTCTTTCCATAAATAGGCATACCTTTGTGCGTTAAAAGGCTGAGATATTTCAGTATTATTTATTTGAACCCATGCCCCACTTGGACGGACCAACTTCCGCCTATATCTCCTCTTACACTAAATCCTATTCTAGGCCGCTATACAGCCAATCCCAAAAGACAGCGTAATCTTACCACTCAACATGCCATAACTACTATTGGCCTCTAGAAGACATTCATGCTACTACTAGTATAAAGAGAGGCGGTAACGATTTTAAGGGCTCTGTACTAGAAGGAGAATCGTGTTTTGTGACAGTTAAAGTATAGCGGTCAAAAAGGATTTCAAGAAACATGTCTCAGGTATGCATGTTACATAAGTATTTTTTTTAACATATCCGCAAGCAGTATATATATTTATGTTTGCTTTATTTAGCTACGTATTGTACCGTAAAATATTGATAAACTAAGCGAACTGCAACAGGCCTTTATGTTTTGCGTGCATCATGCAGGAATCAGATTCGACTGAAGAACGTCGTCTCGCGTTTTTACGTGTTACGTAGATTTTATAGAACCACGTTTTATATTAGCTGTGCTTTAAATTTTCGGGCGGTAAAAGCATTTCGTACAAGGAGCTCAGCACGTTTCTGTTTTAAAGTGGCCAAATTAATTTGTATTGTATAATGGTAGTTTTGATACAAATTTTATCATTAAAATAAAATGCCATCTATGACCAAAGATTTTTCATTGAACTTTACCACAGGTAAAGTTTTGCTTTGAGTGACTTAGCTTGCGTTATACTGTATATGTCTGACAGTTGTGTTATGGGTGGGGTTGTCAGTTTGAACGTTTCTATTCATCTGCTTTGTGTGTCTGTGTAGTTTGTATGTGCATTCCGTGATGCGCGTTTTTTCTCCGGATACTTCTGGTTTATTTCCGCAAACCTAAGACTACAAGTTCTATTTCGAAACTGCCCATGATGTACGAAGTCACTGGAATCGATTTTGAAAGATGGACTGAACCTGATAGCAACATTCCGTCTTTGCCAATATTACTTATGGGCTTATTACTTATATAACTTTGCCTTTTTAAGATGCCTCGATCTTCGCCGTTTCCGTTTGCCTGATTTATATGCTGTAAATTCATTTTGGTATGCCTCTTCGCCGTTTCCGTATGCCAGATTTATATGCTGTAAATGCATTTTGGCGTAGAAATTAATTTATGTTAAATTATTTCGAAATATCCATAAGATATTTTAATGTCCATTTTAGACTGACCGCGTCGTTCCAAAGCAATAGTACGTCTGAACATTTTTAAAGTACATTATGTTGTGCAAGTAAGATTATATTGCAGCCTTGTTCTGCAATCTTAATGCTGATTCTTTATCACACA